AACATTCTCAGACGTAGCAGAAAACAACTAGATCATGTTTGCATTTTCTTCTGTCTCTGACCATAATTCTAACCTTATAATCAGGATTTGGCATATGATGCAGGGTGGTGTAGAAATAATAAAAAAGTGACATCTGAAAACTTCTTTCCCCTAATTTACTGCCTATCTATATTGTACTTATTTATAGTCTCTTTTTTTTCTTTTTTTCCCCTCCTTTCTCCTGAAAGAGAGTTCAGTTCTTCTTTATTTCGAGAAGAAAAAAAACTACAAAAATAGGAAAACCACTACAGGAAGAGGAAGTAAGGAGCACCTAGGAGAAATGATAATATGGAGGATAGTCCAGAACATTTAGAGCACCTGAAGAGGTCTGTGTGCATGCTGAAAGGGTAAATAGAGTTAGGGCAGAGGAAGAGAAAGGAAAGCACTCATACTCGAGAGTTCACGGTTAATGGTGCGAGTTATGCCTTTGTGGTGAAACCCAGGGTCAGTGGAGGAAGGACAGCAATCTCCAAGGCTCTTAATTCAGCACTCTCTCAAAAGCACTCTGAGGAGACACAAATGAAGATGGAGAAACGGAAAACAAGGCCACTCAGGGAAGGAACTGTAGTGTGGGCACGTGCCAGGAGAACTGAGTGGCAATACTTTCTACAAATATCCACATGGCTAAATGTAACAGCAAGGCAATGTAATGTTTTTGAGATGGCCATGCTTTATGCTTTCACAGTGAATTTGCTATTTTAGCCCATCAACCTCCCACAACCCAAGAGGGAAATAATGTTATTGGTATGTATCCAGGGCCTTTTTTGTCCATAAATAATGGAATTATTTAGCAGTTTTTCCTTCAATACTACCAACAAGCAGCACAGGTCACTGTGTCACAGTTTCTGTATAACAGTGAAACTTCAATGGACCTAAAAACATGAAGATACATTGTTATTTTGCTCCACATATTTCCATTTTAGTGGCTTAATGTGAGGAATATTCCACATATGTGTCACCACATGGAGTCCTGAAGGAAAAAACTTTAGGCATGCAAGATAAACATCAGATGGAAAATGTTCAGCTGAAGTAAAAGCTGTCAGAAGACACAAGATGTAGCAGTCAGTTAGGTTTTCTATATAGTGTTTGATTTGAATCACATCACTTTTGTCAACGCAGACCAAACTTCCAATTGGATAAACCATGTTGCAGTTAACAGCCAACATCACATTTGGCACTGATTAAGAGTTCATTTTGGACCCTGTACTGTATGTACCCAAAACTTCTGGCTTAAGGACCCGCATTTAGATACACCTGCATATTCTGACAGTATAGAGTGTGGGATGAGCAACACCAAAAGTACAACATCTAATTCCACCCCCAAGCACTCACAAGAAAATGATGCAAGCGAACACAAAAATCTCCAAACTCAGCCTCCCCCAGGATCTACCCCCGCTGCCCTCTTGTTATTGAAAATGCATGCGTTTACAAAGATCCTCCCTCCTTTTGACAAATTTATGAGTGCTTGAAAGATTAAACGTGACCTTTGTTGGGTTTTAGCGGTGAATGTTGCACATACGGATTATACAGCAAATCACAAACCTCTGAGGGAAATTACACATAAACACCTGTTCGCACATATGCATAAACACCGCACAGCAAAAAAAAAAGCTTCTTAGCCTTTACTGAAAAGCACAAAGGCTGGCGTTCCATGTTACAGCTATGGCAAATGACAAGAGGATTCCATCATCCTAACAAGCATCTTCTGATCCAGATCTGCTCCTGGTCCCTGAGGATGAGCAGATCTGCATCTCTCTCGCTCTCATAAATACTCTCCACCAACCAGGTTCATGACAAGTTCTCACAACATGGACAGGCTCCAAACATTTCTCTGGGGACATCACTGATGCATTCTGGGAAACGTATGCCTTGCGGTTACAGTACGAGATACTTGTGGACACTGCAATGCATCAACGTTAACAGACATCTTGTGAGTAGTCTAATATTCTATTGATGAATATACTTATGTCATATTGATGCATAAAAAAACTGAGTCATGTCCCATGTTGCAGATTCACATCACGGTTCTCCTTCATACGTGCGTAGATGTCAAAAAGTGACTACTGTGAGTACTGTGAGAGTCGGTCTAACGATACTGAATGATAAATTAAACATTGCTTATGTTCAGGTGGAACGTGCTGCCTTTATTCATAACTCATGCCATCAGAGAACCTCTCTGGAGACTTCAAAAGCTACTCGAGCTCATTATCATGTGCGCCTCTATCACTGAATCGGGCACAGTTACATCTCCATCTACTGCTGCCCAGGGCTACATTTCCATTCTGTGTCTCACATCAACTTTATGAAAAAAAACCCTACAATACATTAAAGACTGAATCGGGCACAGTTACATCTCCATCTACTGCTGCCCAGGGCTACATTTCCATTCTGTGTCTCACATCAACTTTATGAAAAAAAAAACCTACAATACATTAAAGGAAAATGACATTTAACGCTCTGACCACAGGCAATGTGGCAAATGCTGTAATAGTTTGGGTTTGTTTATGGTTTTCAATAACAACTTCCTTCTGACAGGTGCAGAGCATTTCTGATGTGAAACAATAGATGATGTCAGCGCTTGAGGCGGTGTAAGTGAACATGACAGATGATTGGATATTTTAATGACACGGTTTCATTTGCATATTAATGAATTCTCCCAATGAACCAACAAAGCGATATCTCAGAGAGGAACGGATATATCTTATGCAATACCTTCTTAATGCTGGTGAGGAGAACTCATTAATTATTAATGTTAGGCTGGTTTGAGCTGATTTCCATAGTTTAAGGAAAGAAGGAGGATCAAATCCCGAGGGCTAATTTGCTAATAGACTTGCAAATAGTTTATAATAAGGGACGATAGAATCAGGAGGTCAGATGTTGCGCAGCAGCAAACATCAGAGGACTTTTTGTTGCACAGTGAGAAAGAGCATTCTATATCAATCGATTAACAAAATCTGATGCAGATTCATAATTGAAGACTTAACTTTAAGATTTAACACTTTAAATGTGCCTTATCTTAATAAATCACCCAAATCAGCATATTAATGGATGATGAACTAAAAATCACCATTTCACAGAAATAAACCCCGAGAGAAAACAGCTAAGACAATCTCTTAGCCAGCCTCTATGAACAGATACACAAAGCGGATCTCAAAAGTGGCCCTTAGGGGTGCCTCAGGTAATAACAGCACTCCTGACTGATAACAAGACCATCAACCTCAAATTGCCCACTCCACAGCATCAGGTTTCTTTTTAAATGCTTTAATTCAGACACCACACATAATAATGTAAAACACATAAAGCACACTGGCAGTTAACAAAATTCTAATTGGACACTTGTTTATAAACATCCAATTAATCTATCTTGGTTGAACATCTTAATGATAGTTATTGTATTCAGAGTCTCTGTGCCCTGCCCACCTCTTTGCTAAGCATCAATGACTCTTAACATAAGATAATTGCTGCCTTGCTTCTGCTTTCGCTTACATGCAACATTAATCTTTGATAAAAGTGCAGAATTTATCATTTAAAAAGGAAATCTATGGACACGACACCAACATGTTATTTTCAGTCACAATTTCCAATACAATGTTCATACAATGTAAAAACAATCCTGTTCAAAATACAGCAAAGAAGAAACTGGCAGCTGTTATCAGAATCTCTTCATTATGATATATTTTATAGTCTGCAACTGTAAATGTGTGTGTGTGTGTGTGTGTGTGTGTGTGTGTGTAAATGATGTTTATCTGAAAGTGTAACAATGCAAACATGTTTTCTGTAAGGGGTAGGTTTAAAGTTAGGGGATAGAAAATATCGTTTGTTCAGTATAAAAGTAATAGAAGTACAGTCGATCGCCAGGAGCAGGGTTGGGCACCCCTGGTGTAGGGCAATAGAATATACGGTCTGTACAGTAGAAAAACCATTACGCCTATGGGATGTCCCCACTTTTCACAAAAACAAACCTGTGTGTGTGTGTGTGTGTGTGTGTGTGTGTGTGTTTAATGCTAATATGCCAACCTACCTCAACAACTCAAATCTGCTTCATAACTTAAAATGTACTGTCAACCATAATAATAAAAAATAATACATGAGATAAAATGTCACCTGATCAGTAAAATTCCCATGAACCACACAGTGTTATTCACACAAAATACCACAAAAGAGACACATATGACACTAAAATAATGATAACATCACTAAATAAATCAATCAATAAATACTAATGCTTAAAGCTCAAAGTGACTTTTTACTTCCAAATCTGTAATATTTTAAAGTAAAGGTACATTTAAAATACGTCGTACTTAAGTACGCACATAATTCACAAGTACTTTATGAAGCTGCTTGTAATTTAAGCAATAATAAATAAATAACGTGTACACTGTAAATAAAAGTGTTACGCGATTTTCAATCAAGAACACGACGGCTGAAGAACAAGCATCAGAATCTGATGGAAAACCGCCTTTTGTGCCTGTTGCGCTGCGCACCTCATGGCACGCACGCTTGACATTCTCACTCCAATAAACACAAGCTTCATGCAAACCGAATTGATTACAAGGTTTCCAGTGGAGACTGCTGAGCATTTCATGTTTTTGCAGACATTTACAAAATACGTCGCGCGCAAATGTTTTTGTGCACTGGCACTCGCTTCTATCTATTGTCGCTTCTGCCTATTCAAGCGTTTGCCACAGTGATGAGATTGAAAAGCATTACTTTTACATGCGTGTAGGTAGTTTTACGCGAATTAGCACCTACTACACATGCTTCATAGCAAAGCCCCACTGATAGTGGAACAGTCGTGCCTTGCATTGGAAAACCCTAATATACTGTCATTATTGAGCATCGCTCAGTGCATTCGTATTCATTCATACAGCGAAGATTCAGAGTCCACGAACTCTCCAAAACGGCTAAATGTGGGGGGAAAGTCTATCGTTAGGCTTACGTAAACAGTTAAGTTATCTTACCTCTAGCCATCGCATAGGGCAGCAGGAGAACCAGGACCGCGAGGAAGCCAAAACAGGAGTACCGTCCCTTCATCCCAAAGCGTCCCATCATCACTGCGCTTCTCTCCTGCGTCCCCAACTAAACCGGGGAGCCGCTCACATGTACCGCTCTCATGCATGTGCCGTGCGTTCTCATGGCTTCAGTAACAGGTCCCTCCCGTAACGATAAACCCGAAGTTCTGCGTGAATCTCTCTCATCCGCGCGCTGAGTGAGTGTCTCGCGCATCCGTGAGACTGGAATAATGAAGCCGGTGCGCGCTGGCCAATAGCGGAGGGTGATTGAGGGCGGAGGGAACGCAGCGGCTGTCCTTCACCCTGCTGCTCGGATGCGCTGCAAAGTGACCAGATGTGCCTGAGTAAGAGATGATACATGAGCATACATGTCAGATGTCGGCTAAATTCGAGATGACATATGAACAGCTGGTTGTGTTACACTGATTTCATCACAGATCGTGTCGGGCTCCTGGGGGCCACTGGGATGAGAGCAACGCTGTGCACACACCGGAGCAGAGGCGGTGGCGTCTCTCGTGCGTAATCTGCGCCATCGCATAGGGCAGCAGGAGAACCAGGACCGCGAGGAAGCCAAAGCAGGAGTATCGTCCCTTCTTCCCAAAGCGTCCCATCATCTCTGCGCTTCTCTCCTGCGTCCCCAACTAAACCGGGGAGCCGCTCGCATGTGCCGCGCGTTCCCGTGGCTTCAGTAACAGGTCCCTCCCGTAGCGATAAACCCGAAGTTCTGCGTGAATCTCTCTCATCCGCGCGCTGAGTGCGTGTCTCGCGCATCCGTGAGACTGGAATAATGAAGCCGGTGCGCGCTGGCCAATAGCGGAGGGTGATTGAGGGCGGAGGGAGCGCAGCGGCTGTCCGTCACCCTGCTGCTCGGATGCGCTGCGAAGTGACCAGATGTGCCTGAGTAAGAGATGATACATGAGCATACATGTCAGATGTCGGCTAAATTCGAGATGACATATGAACAGCTGGTTGTGTTACACTGATTTCATCACAGATCGTGTCGGGCTCCTGGGGGCCACTGGGATGAGAGCAACGCTGTGCACACCGGAGCAGAGGAGGTGGCGTCTCTCGTGCGTAATCTGCGTGGAAGAAGAATGGATGTTTAATGAGCACGAGTGTTGTCGTACTTAAGTCTGTAAACAAGTAATTTGTGTCGAGTAATTTACATTTCAGACAGTAATTAGCCAGTTTGTATGTATGTTTGGTCTCCACATAGCCTATGAAAAATGTTTCAAATAAGCCAAACGTCAAGCTGTGTCATGCGGAAGAATGGATGTTTAAGTAACATCACTTGAGCGAGAGTGCTGTTGCACTTAAGTCCATAAACAAGTAACCGCTATGGAGTAATTTTCATTTCAGATAACAATTAGCCAGTTCGTATATTTTGTCTCTCTCCAACGAAGAAAAATATTTCGAATAAGCCAAACCGCCCAAATAAATGTGTCGCACAGACTAAAAGCCGGTGTGGAATCCCTTATGAGTGGAACAGACTCGGCCATTTCCCGTCCCTGCTTAGAGTTCTGCAATCAGTGGATGTCATCTTTTCAGACCGATGAGCTTTGTAAAAATCGACGCGTTTCAGAAAGGCAGGGCATAGAGGAGAAACAATAATGTACAGTATGTGGAAAATAATGTGTTTTTTGAACCTTAAACCGCATAAACACATTTCATTACACCAAATACACCAAATAATGTTCTTTTTAGCAACATCATATGACCCCTTTAAGAATGAGAAAACATTTGCTCTTCAATTTGAGTTGTCTGTTGTATTAAAAAATAATAATAATAAAAATAATACATGCCTTGGTAATGTGGACATTAATTATTGAAAGGCTATTACAGTTTGAGGTCACACTTTACAGTGATCGTGTTACTGTGTATATAATTAACTACAAGCACGCTAATTATGTTAATATAAATAATGGTAATTAAAAGCTGCTTGTAATCACACATCGTTTTATTACTAAAGAATGTAAGTGAATATTCAAGTCTAGGGGGACCATATGTAAAAGCTTAAGAATAAATAACTGAATATAGTCAGGCTGGTTTATATATATTTTTATAATACATGTAAACATGTTCATTGAAACGTGTTACCTGTGATATACTGAAGTCTTTTTTCGACAATTTACATTTAAAAAAAACATAGCTAAACATCTCCAATGTGCAATTCTGCAAGCGTAATTGCAAATGTCCCTGCCATAAACCCTAATCTCTGAGGATTTTCTTTCCAGTGATAATTTAGTGCGCTCGGATTTGATTTTGATCTGGTCACACTTTCATCCATAATTATTTAGACTCCAAATATAAATTTGACATTTAATTATAAGACTGCAGCTGATCCTCTCTTCTAAACTGACTGGAAGTATTTTCCCAATGGAATTCCTGCACGCATTTAGAGGGCTGGATTGTGATGGCTGTCAAAAATCTTTAACAGCTCGATTCAACCACCACAGGACAGAGATCTGAAAATTTTTTCAGCCAGTTCAGAAGATTAACACCATATTTCAATGGCATAATATCAAAAAGTATCTGTCTCTCTTGTAACAAGACTGAAATAGATGGTTAGAATCCAATAATGATGCTGATTAAACATGACTCCCTACAGCAATGAATTAAGGGCATGATATTCATAGTGATGTAGACTAGAGGGCCACGATGGGACCCCAAGTTGAGATTACAGTACATTTGGGAGAGACGACCGAAAGAAAAAGCCTGACACACCACCTCACTGCTGCACTTCAAGGCTATTCCCATCCTGTCATACACAGTGCTAGCTCCTCTAATAGCACCCACTGAGAAAAAGCATCGACACCTAAAGCCCTTGTTAATATGCAATTTGTCCCACTGTGGCCTGATTACTCTGTGCGCATGTGTGTGCTTGTGTGTTTGACCTTGCCTGATGGGGTTAAATGTTTAACAGGCTTTGCGCAACAGACATGATGATGCTTTAAATATCTCAAAGCTCTATAAAAGCGACACCATGGCCTCTTTTCCCTCAGGACAAGAGACAAAAGTCACAGTTGTCCTTTTAATAGGCAGTGTCTACAGAGGACTCCATCGGGGGGAATGAGACTGAATATTTGTATGGTCCATTAGCTGTCCTCTAAAATTGAGATAGTGAAAAGCAAACATCAAGAGCAGGCACTTATGGGCCATCTAGTGTTGCTATGGTTTCCTGATTTATTTCAAGGGGTTAAATTGGACTGAAAAAAAAAAAAGACAGTTGTGCTCATGCGACACCATGGCCTCTTTTCCCTCAGGACAAGAGACAAAAGTCACAGTTGTCCTTTTAATAGGCAGTGTCTACAGAGGACTCCATCGGGGGGAATGAGACTGAATATTTGTATGGTCCATTAGCTGTCCTCTAAAAATGAGATAGTGAAAAGCAAACATCAAGAGCAGGCACTTATGGGCCATCTAGTGTTGCTATGGTTTCCTGATTTATTTCCAGGGGTTAAATTGGACTGAAAAAAAAAAAAGACAGTTGTGCTCATAAGTTTACATACCCCTTGCAGAATGTGCAAAATGTTAATAATCGAAACATAATAAGAGAGATCATGAAAATTGCATGTTCTTTTTTATTTAGTACTGTTCTGAATAAGCTATTTCATATAACAGATGTTCATATACTCCACAAGACAAAATAATAACTGAATTTATAAAAGTGACCCCATTCAAAAGTTTACATACCCTTGAATCTCAATACTATGTGTCATTTCCTGGATGATCCACGACTGTTTTTATACTTTGTGATAGTTGTTCATGAGTCCCTTGTTGGTCCTGAGCAGGTCAACTGCCTGCTGTTCTTCAGAAAAATCCTCCAGCTCCTGCACATTCTTTGGTTTTCCAGCATCTTCTCTATATTTGAACCCTTTCTAACATTGACTGTATGATTTTGAGAACACTGAGGACAACTGAGGGACTCATGCATAACTATTACAAACGGTGAAAACTAGGGATGTAACGATTCACTCAACTCACGATTCGATTCGATTCACAATTTTGATTTCACGATTCGATTCGATTCACGGTTTTTTTTTTTTACAAAATGAGATTTAAGACAAATTATAAATTAAATGCGTCCTTTTATTATTGCTTGGACAAAATACTGTACGTTTCTTTGTGAAATTGAAATATAACACTATAATAATATACTAATATAGCACTTGTAAATTATTGCTCTTTTGTTGGTTTTGATTGCTTCTATTGTCCTCATTTGTTAGTCGCCTTAGATAAAAGTGTTTGCTAAATAACAAAATTTAAATATAATGTAAATGTAAATAACAAAACTAAATTGAAATTTTAAAACAAGCCCCAAATCAAATAAATAA